GAAAAGCGGGGGACCACTGCATGTGTATATATATATATATATATATATATATATATATATATATATATATATATATATATATAATATATATATATATATATATATATATATAGTAGATGGGGAGATGGAGGTATTAGGTACATGGCGAGAATATTTTGAGGAACTTTTAAATGTTAAGGAAGAAACAGAGGCAGTAATTTCATGCACTGGTCAGGGAGGTGTACCATCTTTTAGGAGTGAAGAAGAGCAGAATGTAAGTGTGGGGGAGGTACGTGAGGCATTACGTAAAATGAAAGGGGGTAAAGCAGCTGGAACTGATGGGATCATGACAGAAATGTTAAAAGCAGGGGGGGATATAGTGTTGGAGTGGTTGGTACTTTTGTTTAATAAATGTATGAAAGAGGGATTGGTGGAGAGCATGTATAGTCCCTTTATATAAAGGGAAAGGGGACAAAAGAGACTGTAAAAATTATAGAGGAATAAGTTTAATGAGTATACCAGGAAAAGTGTACGGTAGGGTTATAATTGAAAGAATTAGAGGTAAGACAGAATGTAGGATTGCGGATGAGCAAGGTGGTTTCAGAGTGGGTAGGGGATGTGTAGATCAAGTGTTTACATTGAAGCATATATGACATGTGAACAGTATTTAGATAAAGGTAGGGAAGTTTTTATTGCATTTATGGATTTAGAAAAGGCATATGATAGAGTGGATAGAGGAGCAATGTGGCAGATGTTGCAAGTATATGGAATAGGTGGTAAGTTATTAAATGCTGTAAAGAGTTTTTATGAGGATAGTGAGGCTCAGGTTAGGGTGTGTAGAAGAGAGGGAGACTACTTCCTGGTAAAAGTAGGTCTTAGACAGGGATGTGTAATGTCACCATGGTTGTTTAATATATTTATAGATGGGGTTGTAAAGGAAGTAAATGCTAGGGTGTTCGGGAGAGGGGTGGGATTAAATTTTGGGGAATCAAATTCAAAATGGGAATTGACACAGTTACTTTTTGCTGATGATACGTGCTTATGGGAGATTCTAAAGAAAAATTGCAAAGGTTAGTGGATGAGTTTGGGAATGTGTGTAAAGGTAAAAGTTGAAAGTGAACATAAAAAGAGTAGGTGGGGGGTGTAAAGATTTAGATAAAGAAAAATTGGATATCAAATTGGAGAGGAGGAGAAATGGAAGAAGTGAATTTTTCAGATACTTGGGAGTTGACGTGTCGGCGGATGGTTTATAAAGGGATGGGGTTAATCAAATTGATGAGGGAAAAAAGGTAGTGGTGCGTTGAGGTATGTGGGGAGTAAAAAAAACTTTTATTTTGGGGCAAAAAAGGGAATGTATGAAATATAGTATTACCAAACTCTTATTGGGTGTGAAGCTTGGGTGGTAAATGCAGCAGCAGGAGACGGTGGAGGCTTTGGGGATGTCCCGTTTTAAAGGGGCAATGTGTGGTGTAAAAAAATTATGCAGAAAATTCGGATGGGAAATTTGGAGAAGGTGTGGGTTAATAAAAATTAGTCAGAGGGCAGAAGAGGGGGTTTTTTGAGGTGGGTTTTTTTATTTAGAGAGAATGGATCAAAATAGAAAAACATGGAAAAATATAAATCATAGGGGAAGGAAGGGGCGGGGGAGGGTCGCCTCGAAAGGGGTTGGGGAGAGGGGGGAAAGGGGTTTTGTGGGGAAGGGGCTTGGGCTTCCCGAAAGCTGCGTGAGCGTGTTAATAGGAGTGAATGGAACGAATGGTACTTGGGGGCCTACATCTTGGGTGTGAGAGGTAAATTTTGTGAAGGGAAACAGGGAAAAACCCGGTTATTTTCACAAAAGTTGGACTTGAGTCCTGGGAAAAGGGGGTACAATCCTGCACTTTAAAGGGGGGGTTTGGGATATTGGGAGTTTTGGGGGGAAGTTGTGTTCTCTTACTATATGTTCAAACTGTTTTATTCTGAGCACCTCTCAAAAGCAGTATAAAGGTGAGTGTGGTGAAAGTGTTGAATGATGTGAAAGTATTTTCTTTTTGGGTTTTTCTTTCTTTTTTTTTTTGGGCCCCTGCCTCTGGGAGAGACCGACTTTTGAAAAAAAAAAAAAAAATATATTAAAAATATTTTTTTTTTTTTTTCAACAAAAAAATATATATATTTAAAATTATTTTTTTTTTTTTTCAACAAACGGTCTCTCCACCGAGGCAGGGGACCCAAAAAAAAAGAAAGAAAAACCCCAAAAAGAAAAAACTTTCATCATCATTCAACACTTTCACCACACTCACACATTATCACTGCTTTTGCAGAGGTGCTCAGAATACAACAGTTTAGAAGCATATACGTATAGAGATACACAACATATCCCTCCAAACTGCCAATATCCCAAACCCCTCCTTTAAAGTGCAGGCATTGTACTTCCCATTTCCAGGACTCAAGTCCGACTATATGAAAATAACCGTTTCCCTGAATCCCTTCACTAAATATTACCCTGCTCACACTCCAACAGATCGTCAGGTCCCAAGTATCATTCGTCTCCATTCACCCTACCTAACACGCTCATGCACGCTTGCTGGAAGTCCAAGCCCTCACCCACAAAACCTCCTTTACCCCCTCTTTCCAACCCTTTCGAGGACGACCCCTACCCCTCTTTCCTTCCCCTATAGATTTATATGCTTTCCATGTCATTCTACTTTGATCCATTCTCTCTAAATGACCAAACCACCTCAACAACCCCTCTTCTGCCCTCTGACTAATGCTTTTATTAACTCCACACCTTCTCCTAATTTCCACACTCCGAATTTTCTGCATAATATTTACACCACACATTGCCCTTAGACAGGACATCTCCACTGCCTCCAACCGTCTCCTCGCTGCTGCATTTACCACCCAAGCTTCACATCCATATAAGAGTGTTGGTACTACTATACTTTCATACATTCCCTTCTTTGCCTCCACAGATAACGTTTTTTGACTCCACATATACCTCAACGCACCACTCGCCTTTTTTCCCTCATCAATTCTATGATTAACCTCATCCTTCATAAATCCATCCATCCCGCTGTACGGCGTTTCGCTTTACGGTGTTCCGCTAATACGGACATTTCAAATTATGACCAAAACTCTTTATACGGCTCCCCCCACCTGTCTTTCTAATACGGTCACAGCGGCCCACCGAGTTTGTTTACATTCTCCCTGAGCACATCTCCTTATTATGTCTGGAAACTTTCCAAAATTTCAAGTGTTTTAAAGTTATTGTATATTTTATATGTATTGTACTTGATAATAAACTTGTGTACACCTGTACCTAAATAAACTTACACACTGTGCTGGCATGTAGGTACACATTAAAATCACTAAGAGTCTCTCTACTCTTGATGCAATAATAATAATAATAATAATAATAATAAATAATAATAATAATCTCTTGGGCGCATTAATGTCGCATATTACGTTAATATAGACATTTTCCTAATCTATTATATTTTTTTCAAAATTATATAAGAAACACATTATGTAACACACAAACATGATACATGCACCCACAGTATAAAAATTTATACAAATATATGAGATGTTTACCAAACGGTTTGTAGAAGTGTCGGAAGAATTACGTTTTCTCTAGCCCGTCACCTGTTACTAGGGATAACTGTAGAAAAATATCCTTTCGTATGCCTTCACTTTATAGCTATAATTCTGTACTAACTTGTACACAGTGTAAGAGTATTTGTTTCGTGATTTAATTATTATAATAATAATAAAAATATTATAAGGTAAAAGTTTCACAAACTCTTACAAATGTACATGATGAACATAAAACTGGACACGTATTAATACCGTCTATTTCGCCTGACCGAGTGATCGTCCACAACCTGTTCAGTTTGTTTATTTACCTGTCTGAGCTCGGTGTATCATTAAATGTTGTATATTATGTTAATATACACATTTTCATTAATCCATCCGTGATATTGTTTTCAAAATTATATAATAAACACGATACATAACATAAATACATAACAACATATGTGTAGAGAACCTAGGATAACCCAAAAAAGTCAAGAGTGACTTACTTCCATTGCCTTCACTCAGAGCATCATTTCTTCTCAAAATGATGTTACATGAGAATGGGAGTGTTCTTCTTTATTTATTCTACCGTATCAATGTAGAGACAACCTGTACACAATGTAACTTGTACACAAACCCAGACGTGTACACTGTTTACAAAACTTACCTTCGCCTGGTTTGTTTACATAACTCTGCGCCTGTCCTCTCTCATGCACTCATTCTTTCTCTCTGGTATGGTAGCCTGGCTGACTACCATACATACCACACTTGATTTTTTACAATAAATACTACTCATCTCACCCTATATTTTAAGGTAAGTAATGAGTGAACTGTATATACATTTTATCGCTCTGGGATGCTTAAATATCATAGAATAGTATGTGTGGGGGGGTTGGCCTGGTATGGTAGCCTGGCTGACTACCATACATACCACACTTGATTTATTACAATAAATACTACTTGTCTCACCCTAGATTAAGACTATAAATATTTTAAGGTAAGTAATGAGTGCACTATGTGTGTATTGTACTTTTTTATTGTTTTTTGATGCTTGGTTCTATTGCTAACATAATACATGTTAGTGTAAACTTGTTATCTAGTGTTTGTATGCATTTGTAAGTGGAAAAAAAGGGTGTTCCGCTTTACGGCGGTAGCCTGGAACCTAACCCGCCATATAAGTGGGGCCCTCCTGTATATATATATATGCAACAAGATCACAGTAAACAGGTGATTCCAGAATATGCAAAACAACCACTGTGAAAGAATAGAGAAATTATAATTAGTATTAATTAATAAAGGAAGAAGAGATCAGAATGGAAAGATAGGAATGTGAACGTATTCAACAGAAGTGTGTGAGAGATGAGGTAATTCAGAGAATGCATCAGAAAACAAAGGTCTTATGAGTGTTGGAGCTTATGATTTATTGTATTTTCGTCATTCAGTTCTATCAATTTCTTCCCCCACAGTGATGTCATGTCTACAACTCTGCTCACCCCTGCTACTGAAGAGTCTCATAATAGAGTGACACCAGTAAGTTCAGCAAGAAAGAAGCCTGAAGATTCACTTGCCTGGGCTGTAGACAGATTTATAGGGGCTCCACTCAGCAGTGTTGCAGGTGGCACTGAGGACCACAGCAGTGTTGCAGGTGGCACTGAGGACCACAGCAGTGAGAGTGGCTCATACTCTGGCAACGTAAATGATGATGAATCTTGTGATGCTGGGGCATCATATGACTGTGTGACACAGGATGATTCCTTTGATGTTGTTTTTGAAAACTCGCACAATACCTCAAAAAATTCCTTAAATATACATAGTGGGTATGGAGTGAATGAATCTGTTGAAGTTTTTGAATCATCAAACAGAAAACAAAAAGTGAAAGACAGGAGAAAGGAAATAATTGACAAAATTAATTTTTCAGTTAATAACAATCATAGTGAAAATATTAACAGTGAAATTCAAGAACAAGTTGAGAATAGTGTTAGTGACTCAGTTGTCTTTCAAGACTCTGGTTGTGAAAGTAAGAATAATTTGTCCTTACTTAGCACCCAAAATAATACAGGCAGTTCTAGTCAGCATTTTAGTAGTCACAGTAAAAGTGACGATTGCTCTGTTAGACAACCAAAAGTCATGAACAGGAATCGTGTGCAGAGCTATCCAGTGTGCAACACTATTAGTGAGAGTGGAGTGAGACCTCGAACATTGAGCTTAGAGAGGAGCTTGGAAAAAGTGCCTTCACAAAGTAAGGAGGAAATTAAGTCACAATGTCCCAGATCATTCCTGTATATTCAAATGGAACTCTGTCAGAAAGAGAGTTTGAAAGACTGGTTGCTACAGAACCAGAAGCGTGAACAAGAAGCTTTATTTAAGATGTTTAACGATATTGTCTGTGCTGTAGAATATGTACATGACAATCATCTCATGCATCGGGACCTCAAGGTAAATCTACACACTTTTATTATTATTCTTACCAATTACATTTAATTTTTTTTTTCAACATGCCAGCCTTCTCCCACTGAAGCAGGGTGACCCAAGAAAGAAACACTCACCATCATTCAGACATAATCACTGTCTTTGCAGAGGTGCCTAGATATGACAGTTTAGATGTCATCTCAAATCCCTCCTTTAAGGCACAGGCATTGTACTTCTCACGTCAAGGACTCGAGTCCGGCTAACCGGTTTCCCTGAATCTCTTCACAAAATATTACCCTGCTCACACTCCAACAGATCGTCAGGTTCCACAAACCACTTGTCTCCATTCGCTCCTATTTAATATGCTCACACATGCCTGCTGCATATCTAGGCCCCTTGCACACAAACCCTCTTTTACCCCCTCCCTCCATCCTTTCCTAGGATGACCCCTACCCCTCCTCTCCTCCATTAGATTTATACACCCTCTAAGTCATTCTATTTTGCTCCAGCCTCTCTAAATTATCAAACCTCCTCAATAGCCCCCTTTTCAGCCCTCTGAGTAGTACTTTTTGTATTATACCAACTCTTTTTAAATACATGTTAACTGTCCAGTATGAAAAATACATGGGGGTTAATGAGCAGTTCACCCATAAACAGCACACAAAATATCAGGTACAGAAAATAGTATAGTATGAGCTAATTGATAGAAGTCACTTTTGTTATTTTACAGAATGTGGGTTAGAATTATTTTCATTTATTCATCAGGACAGTCAGATTACCCATTCATTGTTCACAAACTAGGACAGTACTTATAACTACATCCATTCATGGTCCTGATGTCAGTATTGAATAGTGACTGAAATAGCCAAGTAAATCTCCATCATTGGACTTAGTGTTTCTTTACACTATCTTAAAAAAATACACAATGTTATTTCTTTCAGGAGTGCACTTATGACATGTAGTTGTGAAGATATTCTTGTGAACATGTACATGTGAGGTACTACTATCCTGCCAAGTGAGTGTAAAATGGAAACCTGTAATTGTTTTATGTGATGGTAGGATTGCTGGTGTCTTTTTTCTGTCTCATAAACATGCAAGGTTTCAGGTACATCTTGCTACTTCTACTTCCACTTACACTTAGGTCACACTACACATACATGTACAAGCATATATATATACACACACATCCCTCTGGGTTTTCTTCTATTTCCTTACTAGTTCTTTTTCTTGCATTTTCTTTTACCTCCATGGGGAAGTGAAGCAGAATTCTTCCTCCGTAAGCCATGTGTGTTGTAAGAGGCGACTAACATGCCAGGAGCAAGGGGCTAGTAACCCCTTCTCCTGTATATATTACTAAAGTTAGAGATTTTTTTTTTCTTTTTGGACCACCCTGCTTCAGAGGGATATAGCCAGTTTGTTGAAAGAAGAATGTGCATACTGGATGTTAGTAGTAGTTACAACATTCGTTATTTCTCCTTTGTTTTTGATTGGGGTATATTTTGATTGATATAGAAATAATCACAGACATGAGATGTAATGAGCTTATTTAACAAAAAAGAGTTAGACTAGAAATAATTGATGTGGTCAACCAGTATTTTTGTTTTCTTTCCATCAAACCAACTTTTCTTAAGTCAGATAACTGAATGGTAAATGTAATGAACATGTCCTGTGTAAATAATGTAAAGAAATGTTATTCATATTTTGTTAGAATGTAATTATTTTTGTTAACAGGTACATCTTGCTACTTCTACTTACATTTAGCTCACACTACACATACATGAACATGAATAAGTTTACATACCCATCTGAGTTTTCTTCTGTTTTCTAATAGTTCTTGTTGTTATTTTATTTTTATCTCCACAAGGAAGTGGAAAAGAATATTTCCTCTAAGTTGTGCATGTCGTAAAAGGCGACTAAAATGCTGGAAGACTCAAGAAATCGTAATGACACGATTGCAAACAAACCATACGGGCTGGAGTTTTGAGACTCTATGACTGCGGGTTCAATCCCGGCCGGGGGTATGGTTTAAAATGCTGGAAGTAAGGGGCTAGTAACCCCTTCTCCTATATACATTAGTACATGTAAAAAGAACTGTCATATCTGAGTGCTTCTGCAAAGGCACTGATTATGTGTGAATGATGGTGAAAGTGTTTCTTTCTGTTTTTGGGTCACCCTGCCTTGGTGAGAGATGGTTGGTGCATTAAAAGAAAAAAAAAAGTGCTTATTTTTGTGGTGATTTATGATGTGCATTTGAATTGTCATGTTATTTTAAATATTGTTTCATAAAATCGTAAAGCTCATTGCAGAAAAAGAAGTGATGAATGATTTTATTCTGAATGTAAAGATTTTAGTCATAGTTTAGGATGAGGTGGCTCGTGGCCTGGTAGGCAAAGCTCTTGCTTCACACGCAGAGGGTCTGGGATCAATTCCCAGCAAGAGGGGAAAACATTGGGCATGTTTCCTTACACCGGTTGTCCCTGTTCACCCATCAGTAAAATGGGTACCTGGGTGTTAGTCAACTGGTGTGGGTCACATCCTGGGACAAATGACCTAATTTGCCCGAAATGCTCTGCATAACAAGGGGGCTTTCTGTATAGTAGTAGTATGTCATTAATGTCAGCTAAGCCTATATACCTTGTACATGTAGATTTTTTTTTTTTTTAAATCAGCTGTCTCCCACCGAGGCAGGGTGACCCAAAAAGAAAGAAAATCCCCAAAAAGAAAATACTTTCATCATCATTCAACACTTTCACCTCATTCATTCATAATCACTGTTTTTGCAGAGGTGCCCAGATATAACAGTTTAGAATCATATATAAAGATATATAACATATCCCTCCAAACTGCCAATATCCCAAACCCCTCCTTTAAAGTGCAGGCATTGTACTTCCCATTTCCAGTACTCAAGTCCAGCTATATAAAAATAACCAATTTTCCTGAATCCCTTCACTAAATATTACCGTGCTCACACTCCAACAGCTCGTCAGGTCCCAAAAACCATTCGTCTCCATTCACTCCTATCTAATACGTTCACGCATGCTTGCTGGAGGTCCAAACCCCTCGCCCACAAAACTTCCTTTACCCCATTCCTCCAACTTTTTTGAGGACGACCCCTACCCCGCCTTCCTTCCCCTACAGATTTATACGCTCTCCATGTCATTCCACTTTGATCCATTCTCTCTAAATGACCAAACCACCTCAACAACACCTCTTCAGCCTTCTGACTAATACTTTTATTAGCTCCACACCTCCTAATTTCCACACTCCAAATTCTCTGCATAATATTTACATCACACATTGCTCTTAGACACGTCATCTCCACTGCCTCCAACCACCTACTCGCTGCAGCATTTACAACCCAAGCTTCACATCCATATAAGAGTGCTGGTACCACTATATTTTCATACATTCCCTTCTTTGCCTCCATAGTTAACATTTTTTTGTCTCCACATATACCTCATTGCTTCTTTTCCTTCATCAATTCTATGGTTAACCTCATCCTTCATAAACCTATCCACTGACACGTCAACTTCCAAATATCTGAAAACATTCACTTCTTCCATTCTTCCTCTCTCCAAAGTGATATCCAATTTTTCTTTATGTAAATCATTTGATACCTTCACCTTACTCTTATCTATGTTCACTTTCAACTTGCTACCTTTACACGCTCTCCCAAACTCGTCCACTAACCTCTGCAACTTTTCTTTAGAATCTCCCATAAGCACAGTATCATCATCAAAAAGTAACTGTCAACTCCCATTTTGTATTTGATTTCCCATAATTTAATCCCACCCCTCTCCTCAACACCCAAGCATTTACAGTGGACCCTCGGTTTTCGTGTTTAATCCGGTTCAGAGCCATCGGCCAAAACCGAAACTATTTTCCCCATAAGAAATAATGTAAATGGAATTAATACATTCCTGACATCAAGAAGTATCAGTAAAAATTTTTTTTACCTTAAAGATAGATTTACATGCACAAAAGAATGAACCTTACACATGACATATACCTTTATTGAAGGCTGTTGTTGATGGATGGAAGACAGGGAGGAGGAGAGAGGGAAGAGAGGTTATTGTTTGGAAGGGGAATCCCCCTCCATAAAGACTCGAGGTACCAAGTCATTATCAGGGGTCACTTCCCTAGCCACTTCCCTAGCTTAAATATAGATTAATATGCAGAAAAGAATGACAAATAAATATAAAGCACTAATAAAATGTATAAATGAACATTTAACATCACACTTGCCTTTATTGAAAAGACTTGTTGGTGTATGGCGGACCGAGTGGAGGTGGAGAGGGAGGCGAGTTTATTGTTGGAGAATATGACACTAATATCAACTCTACGGCTTATTTATCTATCACAATTCAACTAATATGACATAATAAACAATAATAATGTAGAAACATGACATATACTTTAGAATGAATAAGTCATTATGTATGTAATGACAGGTGTTCTGTTATTGTTGTTGGGTGTATAAGGGCCACTGTGAGCATAAGCAGTACATCATGTTGGTGAAGGCTGCAGCTGAGGCGGCGGTGTTTTCTGTAGCCCTATATAACTCCAACAATATTGGAGGAGTTAGTAGAATTGCTGAATCACTGAAGAAGGCACCCTCTACCACCATCACAACCACTACCACCCTCTACCACCATCATTTTTGTATTTTTCTACAAACTTTTTCTTGAATTATATCATGTTTCCCACATTCTTTACCAAAGGGCTTGCACTAGAAGCTTTCTTTGGGCCCATGGTGGCTTATTTAGCAGTCACACAATAAACAAGTGGCAAAAACAATCGATTATTATGAAATGTTTCGTAATGACCTGGGAGGATATGTTCACTCACTGAGAAACAACGCTACACTGGCTGAGAATGGTGTGGGAGGCAGCTTTGTCTGCACGCTGGGCATTGGACAGGTTCTGTACGGACAACGAAAACAGAGGTAATCAAAGAAAATAGAACCAAAAAATTGACAAAAAACAAGTCGGCCAAAACAGAAATCGGCAATAATGGAGATCAACGAA